CTGCCGTTAGCAGTCCAGAGGTATATAGTCAAAGGTTAACTCTCCTTGCGATTTCGCAATTTTGAATGCATCTTAAGAAAGCACCGCGAATTTTTCAATGGACATTCCTTTTAATTTTCAAATTTATTAGGGAAAAAGAAAACGCAGAACAAAAAAAAGGAAAGAAAGCAGAAAAACGCGCGCGGTACAGAAAGTGCAATTGAAGAAACTCGCGCGATTTGTAATGTGGATGTGACTTTACATTTGCACTGTGGATGCGGCCTAATACGTGACACCGATCAGCTGACAGAGTGACAGATCCGTCGGTCGTCGATTCATTAAAAATGGCATCCACCACGGTGGCGACCGCTACGATACGAGCTGTGACAGGGAGAAAAATTCTTCCGACTCGCGCTGCGCTCACCCTGGTTAGCATATTATTAATTATATACTCTCGCATTACCGTTTTTCGCATCTCCCTTTTTTTTTGCAAAGAAGCAATTGTTCCGATTTGTTCCGTACTCGCGTTGTAACCTTTCAATGCGTCCGCGTAGAAAACAAAAATAAAGAAGTTTGTAAAAAAATGTAGAATATTCTTCAAACAAGTTTACTTTGCAATTTCCATTCCATTTAATAACAGATTTTGCGACGCGTCTTAATTCTAATTGCGTAATTGCCTGTGCTCTACTATTTCGCAACATTGCAACATGCCAAAATGAATAATAACCTTATCGTTCTCAAGGATACATTTTACGTAAATATATTGATAAAACATTTTATATTTTAGACGCCCAATGCTGTCAAAAAAATTAAAGAGATTTTAAAGAATAAGAGCGAATATGTAAGTATAGGTGTAATATATGAATTATACATATAACAGTAATTGAGAAATGTATAATTTTAATGGTTAGAACACATAAAGATTTATACCGAGTTCTTTGAGCTTTCAAAATATGTACTAGAATATAATGTAAGAATTAATGTCTACGTTTAATCTGTAGATTGGTCTGAAGGTTGGAGTACGGCAACGAGGATGCAATGGTTTGAGTTATACCCTAGATTATGCAAAAGAAAAATCTAAGCTTGACGAGGAGGTGATTCAGGATGGTGTTCATATATTCATCGATCGCAAGGCACAGTTATCTCTTCTCGGAACAGAAATGGATTATACCGAAAACAAATTAAGCTCCGAATTTATATTCAATAATCCAAATATTAAAGGGACATGTGGATGTGGAGAAAGTTTTTCAGTGTAGTAAAATTTAATGTGGCATTAGTAGTCTTATGTGATATAAAATTACGTGTAATCTCTAGTGTTAGTTAAATTTAGGATCTTCAAAATACCTTGTGATATACAACTGCATATTTTTTGTCTTTTCTTACAATTGAAGGACTGAATTTACAACGCAACAGATATATGTAACAATCGTCACGATTTAATTTATCATCTATAAGTTTTGTACATACCTTGCCATATTATGTATGTATCTCATTACATAATACATTAATTATATAGTTTGTTCATGATGTGTTCATTATAGGAAAATTAAAGTTGTATTAAATCTTTAATTTCTTTTTCCTTTTTCTTGCTTGATGTAATATTGAGAGTACAATATATAATTTTAAAAATGTATCAATATAAATCTATATTTTTAGATGAAAAATGTACTATTTTTAGAAATTTTGCCTTTTTATAGATTTAAAATTTATTTTAAATTATTTCTTATAATGAACTAAATGCATGCGATAAAAAATTGACGAATCTTATGTTTGACATAAAAAAATATTAATGTTAAATAAATAATAACGGGGAAAAAGAATAAAAAGTACATTTTCTGTTTATAATTATATAATTCTCAAATTGGTTTTAAAATAAAAGTGACCTTTTAAAGCTATTTTAAAAGCGAAGATATTATTATATGAGATATTAATATCTCATCGTAGAATTATTATAAATATATTAAAAGTTCAGTGGTATTTCCGGGAATATTTAAACTTGTTCAGTTTGTCTGATCACCTTTCGACTTTTTTTTAGGCTATACAATTCTTCGATTTTTGCATAAACCATTTCGTGAGTTACCAATGTAACATAAATTCTCCTCAATTATGTCCGTATTTATAGTCAAGCCTTATATTCTTAAATTTATCTTCAGATGCTTTGCGAATTATTTTATTGGCTACCGAGCATTTAAAGATGAATGTCAAAATGAAGACTTAGTATGGATTAAAATATACAAACGATCGGACAATAGTAGACATATATGTATGACTTATAAGATACATATAGTTTTTGACGGACCATATAGAGTTTATAGCTCACAACAGTTGCGACCAAACCGTCAACCTAGACTGAAACCAAATACAATAGGAATGGAGTCAGAAGACGACGAAGAAAATATTCAAGCAAAATACGATTCCGCCGGAAAAGCGAAGAAGAAGAAATTGAAGCAGAGCAAGAAATAATATACTGCAAGTGGATGATACTGCAAGTGACGATTTGTCATTCGAGAATGATATAGCAAAATTGCTTAAAACTTTGGCATCAAAAATAAAAAAGAAGGAAAAGTCCTCAGTAACAGCGGAAAATGAAATCTAACGATTGGAACCCATTGATCAACAAGGAAAAAGCAAGAAACGACTAATGTAACCAATTCAATAGTGCTTATAGTAGCGAAGAGAATAATGAAATGAGCAGCGGTGATGAATAGGTGTTACCGACTTAACAACAAAACGAGATTGGTTCGGAAGATAAATTCAAACCCCATACTGACTTTACTGATGAAATTAAGATCGACCAATAACAGAATTTATATAATTTTAATGAAACATCCTATTCAACAGGAATAAATTCCAAAATATCAAAATACCCTGACGAAAGAAAAAAAAACGATAATTTTTTGACGAATAAACTGAAGTTAAAAAAGAAAGCCCGACACTTGTCCGGAGATCGCTAAAAATAAACAAGAAGAAAAATTTAACTGATATAACTTACCATTTCAATAAGCAGGATTACCGATGGATAAGTGTTAATTGCCATGCGAAACTCGTTTGAAAACTAATTGGGATGAAATCAGAACCCAAATCCGAAGAGAAACCTGAAACAGAAGAAAAAATAATTAATTTACCGTTAAAGTCGAAGTTAGATTTAAATAAAATTAATAATATACCTACTAATGAGAATAGTTATTTAGAAAGACAAATAGAAAACGGAACAAAAAATTAGATATTTTACCGAAAAACGATAATAATTCAATTCGCAATCTTTAATCTCCAATGCGTATAGTGACATGGGCTTTAGTGTATCTTGTATGTTGCGTGACGTAGTGTTGGTACTTACCATTGCCGTCGTCACCGTTTGTCAACTTATCCCCTTCACATGACGTATAGTATGCCGTAAGCGTCTGTGAAATGGCATCCCTGATTATTCTGATGTCCGCCTACGTGTATATATTTATATATACGGACTTATTCTTTTTTCTTTTATCTTTTTTACAACACTGTTTTATTCCGGATACCTGCATTTGGATACCCACCATGACCGCGAAACCCATCCTTCCATTTTTTTTAAACTCCTAACATGGTATTTACAACTTACAACTTATAAAATGACGATTTTTGATGATGATAATGTTGTTGTTGCGATCTGCATGTCTTACCAATTTAATTGTGAATTCGAAATCTCTCGATTGATCCGCTGAAAGTAATCTGAAACCTCTCTCGCTCAGATAAGTAATCTTACACACTGCGGAATTAATCAGATAGCCATCTCGGTATTTAATTCTTTTATATATAGCAATAGTCTATATGAAATGTCGATGTCTCATAAATCATATGTTTATATTGTAAACTGTATGTGTGTAAGGGCCGGTCTCACCAATTCCGATTAACAATTAATCGACCGGTTGTTACGTTGGAACTGACCCATCGCATTTGCTGTTGAACAGAATTAATCAATCACGGTTAATATTTAATTGACCGATTAGATTAATCGGAGTTGGTGATATTAATCGTATTTAATTAATAAAGGTAAAAAAGCAGCTCTAAATCTTATTTAATTAATAAAGATAAAACAGGATTAATTTAAAAAAACTGAAAAACTGAGTATTAATTTAGTTTCATTAAAAATTGAATGAATAAAAATTAACTTAGTTAAGATAAAATTATTTCAAGTAAAATAAAAAGTTAGATTTTTGAAAAACATTTTTATTAAATCAAAATGTCCTAATCTTTCTTGAAATTAGATTACTTTAAATAAAAAAAAAACAATTACAATATGGTTCGTCAAAAATACATAAATACATGATATATAAAGTATACATATATATTAAGCTGCACATTAATGCACACTATATAAAATATGTAAATATTAAAATATATATAAAATAAAAATGCACGGTATATTTAATTCAAATGACAAATAGAGAAAATTTCATCTTGAGATCTAGCGCGAGTTATAGAGCGTCTCAAATAGGTTTAAGACATTCTCGAAGCTCCGTATTTTGAATATATAATTCCTAGAATTTTCAATCGCATGATATAAAGTCTAGTGACCGACAGCTGACTCATCATTCTTACAATTTGATTCGTCACAGGAAAATTTGCATGAATCAGTGGACTCAGTCATTGTGATAATACGTGTATACGTAGGTCAATGTCATAATTATTTTCACTTTTTATTATTATTAAGATTGTTATTGAAAATTATTATACATCTTCATCATTATCCGGCATATGAAAAAAAAACGTAATAATAGTTACGTCACACCGAGAAGAAATCTCGATTCGCGGAATACTTATCTGCGCATACACTTGCGAGATGCAGCGCGTTTAGGAAGCTTAGGAATGCGCCAGATGAGCGCAAAGACAGGACGTAATCAGACGTGACGGACGTGAATAATTGTTTGGCGTGTCATTTATCGTCGATCAGTGAAACGACTTTTCCTTAACGGTAATATCGACGTAAGAATAATTTTCACGTTGCGATGAAAAAGAAAGTGTTTTTTGATGAAGCGAGATTAAGGAATTCGCATAGATAACAAGCGACTATACATCTGCGTTGTGTATAGATGAGAGAGAGAGAGAGACATTTAAATTATTATTATAATATATCATATTACATTATTATGTCATCATCATATTCTTACTATTATTATTATTATATTTGAATTTCAGTTTCGGGGTATTTGAAAACACTATTGTATCGTAATCTATTGTAATTTGATACAAAATGCTCTTATCCTCTTTTTTTTATTTTTAGAGTGAAGAGTTTCGTTCACCAGACGAGCATTCGTCACCCCGTGGAAACATTCGACATGCGTGGATAATGTCGGCGCGCGTCCGTCTCGTCTGCAGCAGTCTGCAGCCATGGACGAAAGTGGCGGGAATAAAATTGGTGAGGTATCTCGGATGGACCGAGAGGAATCAATGTGATGTGTTGACCGGCATAGGATATCGAAGGACAGCGGCGATCCGCACACCAAAATGGTAGGGGGGTACTGGCCAGATCCGGAGGATGGTATAAGAGAAGAAGGGATACGAAACCAGCGTCAGTTATATTGACTTTCTTTTAAGCGACACGCGCGTTACACACGTATACTCCGCGGGAGGATACACATTAAGTAAGTACACGCACTCGATTTGTTTGCCGAGCACGAGGGTGTGCAAGAGTAACTCACGCTTCGTTGCACTTATCGCGCCGCCTATCCTGCTAGGCCGCACAATCATCGTGAGGATGCTTGAAGTACCCAAGTACCGAAACCCGTAAACGTTTCGACAAGCTCGACACCGGATGCTGTGGACATCAAAATAACACTTTCTTGGTACACCTGCGCGCCAACTGTCGCGTTTTAATTGTCCGCGAGTGAAGTATTGTTCGCAGCGAAGTTTGTCGAGATTGTACCGAACCGCGTTCCGGTATTTTCAATCTTTGCACTTTTTTTACCCAGTTAAATAACACCAATTAAAAGTAACATTACGTCTATGTTAATTATAATTTCGCACTCAATAATATAAATGTAATATAACATATGATGTTATTGAGTGCGAAATTATAACATAGATGTTATGTTATTTTTAGTTGATAGGCGCATTTATTTAATCTGCGTTTATTTAACCAATTTGCAAAAATGCTTTTACTTTCATAAGGAATAATTGACAAGGAATAGGAAAAGTAATATCAATTCTCACTGTTACTAGTGCAAGAAAATAGTCGTTCTGTTTATTTGGATGAAGTTTGCAATATCAGACAAACTAAATTTACAATTTTCTTGAATAACCGAAAGTGGTTCAATTAATTCTAAGTCAAGTTATTATGTTAGTTTAGTGCATACATACAGAACTTTAATCTCTATATTTTATTAAAATAATTGAATGTCGAAAGGGTAGAAAGATTGCTGATTGTAGTATGCTGAGTGCGGATTGTAATGGATAATTTATAATGTTCGTATCACAAAAACTAGAGATTGAGATTAGGATTAAGA